TYKGAAAGCYSAATMSCTTGACTTWATTSWRGMTTTCAAARTTCGAAAATCGKYYCTTAATTGGACGCGCASYAAGGYKAAGAGTRTTKSAGCATTCTAAAATGYAAATTTTKTASATTAARTTCGTCMGTAGTTCCAGCGYMTTTCCRAACTTCCCGTATTCGAGAGTTTGAAAGTGCAAAACTTTAATTAGTTAAAACGATTTTAGTTTTTTAAAAAATCTAAAATCGGACCAAAAGTTTCTAGAAACTAGTTCTAGCATTTTTTAGCATTTTCAGCATATGAGAAGAGTGTGGAAGATTCTCAAAGTACAAATTTTTTAGTTAAATCCCGCCGCTTCCAGCGTCTTACAGTGCGGTTTTCCAAATATAACGGCTTCTGAATACTTCTTTGAAAAATATGATAGTTCCGCCTTACTTGAGTATTAAAAATAAAAAAATCGGCCCTTAATTATCCGTTAAATTTGTCCATAATTCCAGTGTTTTTGTGCATCTCCGTATCCGAAAACTCGTTTTTTTCAACACATTGATAAACATGAAAATATAAGACAAACGACTCTTGTAAAATCGAGGCGTTAAAGCGAGGATTGTAGAGAACTAAAAAATGCATTTTTCCTGCTGCGAATTCATGCGCAATCTTTTTTCCAATAAATCCGTCTGTAGGTTCAGAGTCTTTACGGGTCTTTCAGTATCTGAGAACTTCATTGGAAAGACCAATAGAACAGCCTTTTGGGTTCGTTCTTGGGGTGAAGAGTGTGTGGAAGGTTACAAAAATCGAACTGCTTTTTTAAACTTTCGCCATCTGAAAAAACTCCGCTTTGTTCACGATTTTGAACTTCGTTCCTTGGTAGAATAGGAGTGGAAGGCTTGAAAAAAACCGAATTTTCCCGACAAAATGCATGAAATATGTGCCTTATTCACGTTTTGCACTTTCGAAACAAGCCTTTGATTTGGCTTGTTTCCTCGTAAAAAAACTTGAAAATTTGTCAAAAAAACAAACTTTCCCGGTTAAATGCAACCCGTAGCTCAAGCTACTTCCCAAATTTTCCGTTTCTGAAAGCTGCGCTCGACTGCTCTAAATCGCCGCTTTATTAACGTTTAAAGTTTTTAAACAAAATGTGTGGAGCTTTATAGAAAACAAACTTCTTCGGTTAAATCCGACCGTAGTTCCAGCGCCTTTGTGCGTCCTTTCAACAAATAAAATCCTTCATTTACCATTCCTCCATTTATCAAATTACCGTTTACCATTTACCAAATCCTCGAAAATTTCCCTTTTTTGGATTTTTCAAATCGCAAAATCAACCCATTTTTGGACTTGTTCTCGTTTGAAAAAGTCGCAGGTTGACGGATGGTCTTTACGTTCAATTGAAAACGCGGCTTCTTTGGTTTGAAGTCTTAGCGAAACGGTTAAACATTTCCCAAGATTTTCTGCGGCGACTTAAAACTGGGACTACCGTATCTTATTAGAACTTCCGAAGGAAACTTTTGCTTTAATAAACAACCGAAAAATTCGGGGTGGAAACCTTTCATTGGCCAACACGAATCCAGCATTTTTGTTCTGCAATCGATCTAAACCATTTGATTAAAATATACTTGAAATAAGAGAAACTTTCGAATGTTGAACATTTTTTGAAAGATATTTGTAAAGTTTTACAGCTTGAAAATTTGAAATGTTTTAGAGAATCGGCACAAAAATGCATTATAATATTCAGGATATCGAAATCGTGTTCTGCCCGAAGGGCTGGACGAAATTCGTTCAAAATTACATTGCATTTGAGGTTTTGTGAACAGAAAAGTAGCAAAATCTGGCCTCAATTTTTCAGAATGTTGCTCAAAACCACCAGTTAAATATTAAGTTAAGTTGAGTAAATTTCAAGAATTTCCTTTGTCTCTCCCTTTCTTACTCAACCATACTCTCAACTCAACAATCAAATTTTTGACCGACTTTTTTGATAAACAGCTTTACAGGCAGAAAAACCATCGTTTTTTGGTATAGTATATGCGAAGTCCATTGAGACGTGCGAACCGGTAGAAGAACGTTTGCGTTGTCTGATGCTTTGCATAGACTCTCCCAATTTTACTCCCTTTCCCATAACCTTCCGACAATGAATTGCGAACCTTAAAACAATTTCCAGCCATTTTCCGTGCCAATTCTACTCAAAAAAACGTTTTCCCACGACAGTGAACCGGTCCGCCACTGCCAGAGTCTCCTTCTAAGCCCTTTCGCATGTGGCCACGCCCAAAGCCAAATATACAAAGCAGCCCAAAAAAATTCCCTACTTACATTGAGTTTCAGCTCTGGAACTGTGTAGTTTCCATACTGGTCGATAATGCATTGCGCCTTCTGGACAAACGCCTTCTTCGTCTCCTCCTGCCACCAGTCCACCAGGTTGCCCTCCTTGTCGAACTGCCGCCCCTGATCGTCAAAACCGTGAGTAATTTCGTGACCAATCACAAAGCCGATAGCGCCGTAGTTCATGTATCTGGGCCTATCAGCGCTGAAGAACACTCCTTGGAGGATTCCGGCCGGGAATTCTGGAAAATCAATTAATTCAGTGAGTGGAGAAACATGTTTAGTGCCCGGTCAGTAATAATTCCAGGCTGTAACTGGCACTATTTCCCTTTCAAGTCAACAGTATATATCGAACTTACGGATGCTGTTTTCTATCGCCGAGTAGAAAGCGTTGACCACTGCAGGCCTGCCATGCGTGATCCAGTCGGTTTTGTTGACTGGTTGGCGCAGCCTTTTGAAGGAGAATCTGGTGCCGAAGAGGGTCAAATTGAGGATGGATCGCAGGTATTGGTTCTGGTCCAGTTCCAGCTAGAATTGCCCGATTGGTTTAGTTTTGGAGGACCAAATTGAGGCTAGTAGCACTTACTCCTTCGTAGAATTCCTCTAGCTTTGCGTCGTTCAACATCTCGTCCGGATAGGCGATGTGGGTGGACATGGACCGGGCTTTATCCAGGGCGTTTTGGCGCGTTTTGTCGTCCATCCAGTCCACTTTCTTCAAAATATCCTGGAACTCTGCCCGGATGTCCGACACCATTTCCTTAGCGTTTTGCCTCGCTTCCTCGTTGAAGAACTTGCGGACGTAGAGGGCGCCAGCCGCAATAGACAAACTGGACCAATGAGCGTGAGTGGGGTGAACCGATAGCCAATCAGCGCCTCTTACCTGCCCGCTGAAATGTCAATACACTCCTTCCATCGGGCTTCCCGTTCAGTCCGTCCGGTTACTATGGTAGTGTAGTCCAGCTGCCTCTTCCTCAGATCGTCGCTTAGATAGGAAACGGATGAAGCCACGGCCCTCCACATGACGTAGTTGGCCTGCGCCCTCTTGGGCGTTCGGGACACCAACGCCTCAAAGTCTGAGATGTACTTGGGAATGCTCACCACAATCACCTGCAAAGTTGAGCAACATTTTTAGCACCTACGAGAAGGAAAGCGTTGCTCCAAATACCTCCTCATTGGACACTCGAGTGTCTGGAGCCAGCAGGGTGTTGATGTACTCCAGCCAGGGGATGCTGGGGAACTTTTGCTGCAACTCCCGAATGCTCATCGGGTTGTACAAGGCAGTGGCGTTCCGCCGCTTTTCGCTTGGTAGCGAGATCTACAATGATGTTGTTTTATTTATGTGCATTAATGGGTTTTGGGTACCTACATTAGCGAGCTTCATTTCAAAGTCCAGCGACTCTGCCAGGTCTTTTGAAGCCACTGCTCTATCAGCCCCGAAAAGTACCGCAATGTCCACCATGTAGTCGTAGTAGGCCTTCACGAGCTTGTCGTTCAGACCCTTGGTCAGGAACTCTCTGCGCAGCCCCAAGGAGCCTTGGTCCAGCTGGGGAAAACGACTTTTTCAGTAGGGAGAGTGGAAATAGATCATCAAATAATCCGCACTGGAAGTTTACATCGGTTCCTACTATTCCCTACTGAGTTGGACTTAAGTATCGCATTACCAGGTCTCTTGCGAGCTATTGAAACCATTTTTTATGCAGGGTTTTGACGCTTTCTGCTCAAAATGATCTAAATATCTAAAAACTAGACCAAGAGGAGAACTTCTTTCTACTATAGCAATCAGTAGAAGACTGTACATGAGCCCTGAAAGTTGCATATTTGTCGTAGTCGATGAAGCTTTGGCGCAGCATTTTTGAATTCGACTATTCGGTGCTTTTTACGTTAAGCAAAAACTAGAATTAGGAGAGAAACTTTTTATATAGCAACCAACGGAGGGATTTGCACGTTATTTGAGCTGAAAGTTGCAAATTAATGACGTAGTTTTTGGAATTTTTGTGATTTTTTCAAACCGAGTTGAAATTATTCGGTGCCATTTTCACGTTGAGAGACTCTTTCAAAAAATCGTCCTGCAAAAACTAGGCTTCAGAGAGCAACACTTTCAACAGCAACCAATAGAGGCAGCTTCACGTTGTGTGACCTGAACATTGCAAGTTTATAAAGAAGTTTTTGGAGTTTTAGCAATTTTTTTTAAATCGACTTTTAGTGCCACGTACCTTGCTTTTAGGAATTAAGAGACATTAAAAATTGGTGTGCAAATGTTGGCGTAAAAAAGAGAAATGTTTCATACAGCAGAAAATAGATGATAGTCCACCTTGAACGCCCTGAAAGTTGTAAATTCCGAACGTCCGGCGAATTTTTGAGTTCGACCTGGAGTTACCCGGTGACTCCTTTACACTAAAAGGCACTTACAAAATCGTTATGCGAACACTAGACTTACAAGAAAATCGCTTTATAGAGCAGTAAATAGAGATAACTTCACTTCATGTGTTCTGAACGTTCTCAATTTATGAAGTTGTTTTTTTGGGGTTTGTACGCATTTTTGAATCCGTTTTCAAGTTTGGTCACATAAAAATCGTTTTGCACATACTGGACAAAACCGATAAATATTTTATACAGCAATCAATTGGAGGCACTACACTTTTTATGTCGTGAAAGTTCTAAATTGTTAGTGTAGTTTTTGAACTTTTGACGCAAAGAGTTGCTGGTTTTTTATGTTGAGTCATACTTTCAAAAAATCGTTTTGTAAAAACCAGGTTAAAGAGTGAAATGTTTTATGATGAAAAACCCTCTACTTTCTATGTTTTGTAAGCTGCAAATTTATAACATTTCGCTTTTCTTCTTTCGATCTAGCTTTTCGACTTAGCGAATTTTGCAAATCGACCCAGTGGGTCTTTTACGTAAAGCGCAATTTCAAAAATTTGTGTTGCAAAAACTACACTACGCAAAGAAATGTTTTATACAGAAATCCATAGCAAACACTTCATTTTACGTGTGGTTGAATCTATACATTTATAGCATGGTTTTTGGTTTTTTGGCGATTTTTTGAAAGCGAAGTAGAATTATCCGGTGTCTCCTTTACGTTAAGAGATATTTTGAAAAATCGTTGTGCCAAAATTGGACCACAGAGGGAAATATTTTACCGAGGAATCAATAGCAGACACTTCACTCTATATGCTCTCAAAGTTGCTAACTATTAACTTGATTTTAGGATTTCTGGCCACTTTTTGAAGCCGACCTAGAATTATCCGGTGTCTCTTTTACGTGAAGAGGCATTTTGAAAAATTTGTTTTCAAAAACTAGGCTAAAGAGGGAATAGCGGTAGGTAGTGATCAATAGAGGACACTTCAGGTTATTTGTCCTGAGAGGATTCGCAGAAATTAATAACCTAGTTTTTGGACTTGGTTAACTTGGAACCTAATTTTTGAAAAAAAACTAGAATTATCTAGAATGTTTTTATACCAACGGACAGTTTCAAAATATCGGTTTGCAAATACTAGACACAAGAGAGATATATTTTATACTTCAGTAGTTCAGTAGAGTTCAGAACGTAAGTGTTGGAGGTTTGGCAAAATTTTCAAATCGACCTGGAGGTGCCTGGACAATTTCTAAAAATAATAATATATAATGCGAATAACTGCGCTTTATATGTCCTAAAAGCTGCAATTTTACAATATGGTGTTTTAGTTTTTGCATCGAGTGAAAATTTCCCGGTATCTCTTATGCGTTAAAATTGTTTTGCAAGAACTGGTCTAAAGAGGAACATTTTTTAACCAACCACCGATCGACAGAACACACTTCATTTTATATTTACTGAAGATTGCAGATTAAGTTCTTAGTTTTTACACTTCCAGCAAATTTTTCCGGTGTCTTTTACACGTTAAGAGCCAGTTTGACAAAATCGTTTTGCAAAAACCACACCAAAGGGACAATTATTTTATACAGCGATCAATTAAAGACACTTCACACCAAATATTGTGAAAGTTGCGAATTTATAACGTATCTTTTGGACAAGTGGCAAATTTTTAAAATCGAAATTACCGGTTTCTCTATATTAGGAGACGCTTTAGAAAACCGTTGTGCGAAAACTAGACCAAAGACAAAAATGCTTTACACATCAGTCCATCAAAGACAATTCAGTTTAAATGCCCTTCAGTTAACAAATTTAAAAAGAACTTTTGGGAATTTTGGTGGATGTTTGAAATCGACTATTTGGACTATCTCGGAGTTAAAAGACATTGAAAAATCGCCATAAATAAACACTTTTTCGATAATAGAAGAAACTTCACTTTATATGCCATGAAAGTTGCAAACTCATAACGGAGTTTTTGAAGTGGTGACGAATTTTTGAAACTTGAAACAAAAGCTAAACCAAAGAGGGAAGGGTTTATGAATGGTTTTTGGAGTTTTGGCAATTTTTTTAAATCGACTTGAATTTACCCAATTTATCTTTCCAGTTCAAACACTTTCAAAAAATTGTTGTGCATAAACCAAAGGCAAAAACTGTTTATAGAGCAGTTAATAGAAGATAATTCCCTCTATTTGCCTGTCAAGTTGCAATTTGCCAACGCAGTTTTTAAACTTTTGGCGAATTTTTGAAATTGTCTTGGAAAAACCTGGTGTTTTTTTATGTTACAAGTGATTTTAAAAAACTAGACCAAACTGAGAAATTTTTTATACAGTGATGGATAGAAAATACTTCACTTTATATGTTCTCAAAGCTGCAAATGTATAGCACAGTTTTTGGACTGTTGATGAATTTTTGAAATCGAACTAGATTTGCCCGCTGCATCTTTTAGGTCATGATAAATTAAAAAAAAACGGTTTTGCAAAAACTACACTAAAGAGACAAATGTTTTATACAGCGATTAATAGGAAACATTTCATTCTATTCTCGATCTGAAAAGTTGCGAATTAATAGCTTTGTTTTTGAGCTTTTGCAGAAGTTTGGAAATCGATCAACAATAACCCGGTGGCTCTTTCGCGTTAAGAGGAATTTTCGAAAATCGTTTTGAAAAATGTATACGAAACAGGGAAATGTTTCATATAGCGGCCAATAGGAAATAATTCTCTTGAAAGGCTCTAAAAGTTGGAAATGTATAACGTCGTTCTTGGACTTTTCGCTAATATTTGAAATTGACCTGGAATTATGCGCTCATTTTTACCTAAAGTTTCAAAAAATTGTTTCTCAAAAAGTGGGAGAAAGCGAGGAATCAATAGAAAACAATTCACTTCATATGACCTAAAAATTGCAAATCCATGACATAGTTTGTGGACTTTTAGTGAATTTTTAAATCGACCTAGAATTACTCGATGTCCTTTTAACTTGAAGAGACAGTTTCAAAAAACCGTTTCCTTTAAACTAGACAAAAGAGAGAAATACTTGATACAAGGATTAATAGAAAACACTTCAGTCTATATGTCCAGAAAGTAGAAAATTTATAAACTGGTTTTTGGAATTTTAGTGAATTATTGAAGTTAACTTGGAATTATCAGGACTGTCTTTAAAAAATCGTTATGCAAAAACTGAACTAAAAACAAAAACGCTTTACACAGCAGTCCATGAAAAGGGCTTTTATTTATATGCCCGATTACTTGCAAATTCATACAGTAGTTTTTGAAATTTAGGCAAATTTTTTAACTCTTTGAACTAGAATCACCCGCTGTCTGTTTTTAAGAGTTGAAGGACTTTAAAAGTCGCTTTGTAAAAACTCAACAGCACAAGTAAAGACTTTTATGTAGCAGTCAATAGAAGATTCCTCACGTTATATGGTGTATCAGCTGCAGATTCACAACCTGATTTTTGGACTTTTGAAGACTTTTTCCAATTGACCTCGAATTGCCCAGTGTTGTTTTTACGATAAGAGACACTTTCAAATCACCTTTATTCTTGAGTTTTGGTGATTTTTTGAGTTTACTTGGGGTTTCTGTTTGTCTATAAGAGAGCTTCTAAAACAACTGTAATTTGGAAAACTTCTAATCCACGGTCTTCATAAATCACCCTGTATACTGAGACATTCTCTGGTTCAAAATTAAGTAATTTGGCCAATTTTTTATTAAAGAAAATTGTTTGACTTCTGCTATTGACGGTGAAAGTTCTGAAAAGGTAATATTTTTTTGGAAAATCGGGAACGGTACGATGGATTGCATGGCGCCCTGTATATTTTTTTTCGTACTAAATAGAGAAGACAACATAATGGATCTTGTTAAAATATTGTATTTAAAAATGCTGAAAAAAACATAAACAGTGCAGGAATGTCCAAAAATTTACCACCTGATTTTCATTGAGTATAAAATGCCTAATGCGCCTGATTTGAGTTGTTTATCTTTCCCTGTTTATATTTGCGGCTACTTTCTCAATAAAAAAAGTGAATCATTCAGACGAGTAAACCGGTAAAGGGACCATTATCATGTTTGTACTGTACAAATCGCCAGATTTTCTCTGAAAAAATCGTAAATATTCGCCGTATTACATGCGAGGATCGAACAAAATTGTTAGTTTCCCTGCGCATTTTGCCAGTCGTGGTCATATTTAATCGAAATATCGGCATTTTGGTGGTGAAGAGTAAGATATTGCTGATGAGTTTATCGAAAGTGAACTTTTGGTGCACGTGAATCACAGCCGATAAAGAAAATTGTTCTGGATGGGGCTTCAGCATGCAGAAACCTGGTAAGGTAGATCTCTAATATACTGGGTGTCATAGTCTCGGCCCTACCCGTTATGACCGGAAACGAAACCTGAAGTTTCAAAAACTTCGAATGCACGGTCTACGTAAATCACCCTGTATATACTCACATCGATAATCCTCTTGGTGGAGTTTTTCACGTCAATGCCCACGGAAAAGTCAATAAAATAGTCCACACTGTATCCAGCGGTTCTGAACTTGTACACCGACTGCCGCCAGTCAAAGTCGCCTTCGTTCCATCTTGAGCCTTCTAGGGCCGGCCAGCCTCCCAGCTGCTTCAATATCTGCCTCATTGTGTTCAGCCCTAGAAAAAGAACCGTTTTCAAACCTCCAGGTACTGCGTGAGGTGAGCCTTTTATTACCGTCGGCTTCTATAATCGTCTTATTCATGCAAGCTTTGTAGAGCTTCTTGGTGAGCTGGAACGGTTTGGGTTCATCAGCTTTCAATGGCTCTTCGATCATGGTCCTCAGCTGCTCCTGAAGAGTGTCACTGATGATGCTGCAACCCCAAATAGTATTTAACAAAGCTAAGAGAAACCGGTTGGAGGAGCAGTACCTGAAAGAGGTGACCGAAGACTTGTCGTCCGGGATGTTGGTGTTTTTGATGAAATTGCCGCACGTGAATTGGTAGAAATCATCGCAAGGGTCCACCGACTGATCCATGTATTCCAAAACTCTGAAAGTTCAAATATACAGAGTGTGTATAAAGGTTGATGCATATGTGGACTAGCTACCTTGAAGCTGTGTGAATGCATCCAGGTGTTAAGCACATTTTTTGGCCCTCCTTGGCATCATCAGGCGCATTAATTACATAAGTCTGCTGTCCCTGTAGCGCCTCAGCCGTATAAGGCGTATCTGCAACGATTGCCCCATTAAGTCACGTTGTTTCGCCGATTTTATTCAATTTTTAAACTATTGCTGCAACCGAGTTCACATGCAAAAAGCAAATTGTTTTTTTCTATGTTTCGAAACGCTGGCCGATATGACTAAATTGCATTATGGTAATAAACTGATGGTATTAGCACATGCACTTGCCCGCGATTGTTCAAAACAGCTAATAAAAAGCTGGTTACGTTGGCCGGTTGCTTATCTGCGGTTGAAAGAAGCGAAATTTTGAATTTGATGCGGAATTGGCATATTGATGAAGATTGATAATCAAGTTGAACGAAAATGGGTTTGGATCTATTTTGTATTGCGTTTTAATAGCTGTAGTCAAAAAAAGATTTTCAGGCCTATAGAATCGACTTGGAATAAACAGCTGGTTATTTTACGTTAAGAGAAACTTGCAAAAAATAATTCTGCATAAACAGGCCAAAAGGGAGACATGATCTATATAGCAATCGATAAAAAACACTTCACATTATATCTTCTGCAACCTGTAAATTTATAGCAAAGTTTTTGGAGTTTCGGCGAATTTTCAAAATCGACTTCTGGTGCTCTGCTGATTCTTTTATAAGTGTTCAGAGACACACAAAAAATAATTTTTCAAAAAATAAGCAAAAGCAAAACCCATTTTATACGAGAATCAAAAGACGACACCTAACAGTACAAATTCGGATAGTTGTAAAATTGTCGGACAGTTTTTGAAGTTTCAATTAATTTTTGAATCCTATTAAAATTGCCAGAAGTTTCATTTTATTTAGAAGACACTTAGAAAAAATCCTAATGCGAAAATTAGTGTCGAGAATGTAAGGTTTTACACAGAAATTAATAGAAAATAGTTTATTTTCAATGACTTAAAATTTGCAAACTCATTAAGTTGTAGGTATTTGGAGTTTTCGCGAATTTTTTTAGCCAACGTGAAATTAACTGGTGTTGCTTTGACTTTAAAATGCACTTAAACAATTTCGTTGTGCCAAAACTTTATTAAAGAGAGACATATTTTTTGCAGAAGTAAATAGAAAGTATCTCAGTCTTTATGTCTCCAAACGAGCAAATTCATAACATAGTTTTTGGAGTTTTTGCAAATTTTTGAAATCGAATTGGAATTACACCGTGCCTTTTTTTAATTTCAGAGAATAAAAACTTGTTTTGCAAAAACTTGACAAAAAAAAGAATTATTTTAGACAGCAATGTATACAAAATATATCACTTTATGATCCCCGTAATTTGCAGATTCGTGACGTAGTTATTGGACTTGGTGAATTTTTTAAATCGACTTAAAATTATGCAATGTTTCGTTCACGTTTCGAGACGCTTTCAAAAAATCGTTATTCAAAAACTTGATTTAAGAGAGAAATACTTTACACAGCACTCAATAGGGAAAACCTCATGTTTCAATATACGAGCTGAATGCAAATCCATATAGAAATTTTTTGAGTTTTCGCGCATTTTTGAAATCGACTTGAAATTAATCGGTATTTTTTTGACCTTAAGAGACACTTTCATAAAATCGTATTTCGAAAACTAAGCAAACTAGAGATTTTTTTCTATACAGCAATAAATAAAAGACACTTTACGTTATTTGCTCAGAGAATTGCAAATTTCTAAACTGATTTTGGGAGTTTTGGTAAATTTTTCCAATCGACTTGGAATTTCTCAATGTCTCTTCGGAACCGGCGAGCGTTTTGGTAAAAATTGATAACAATAGTTCACGAATAAGAGCTTTAATCGATTTTCTATTGTATTTTACTTAGCTGCAGCCAAAAAATAGTGTTTAGAATGTTGACATTTTTTTTAAGTCGACTTAACTTTACCCGGTGTTTGTTTCACGTTTAGAGACACTATCAAAAACCATTCTCCATAAACAAACCAAGACAGAGACATGATTTATATAGCAATCAATAGAAAACACTTTACTTTATATCGTCTGAAAGCTGTAAATTAATAGCAAAGTTTTTAAAGTTTTGGCGAATTTTTTAAATCTACTTCTGGTGCCTGGGGTTTACTGTGTATAAGTGTTCAGAGACCCGAAAATCGTTTTACAAAAAGTGGCAAAAGCATGAACCAGTTTATAGGAAAATCAAAAGAAGACACTTAACAGTACAAATTCGGATAATTGCAAAATTGTAGGACAGTTTTTGGAGTTTTAATGAATTTTTGAATCCAGTTAAAATTGCCAAGCATTTCATTTTCTTTAGAAGACAGTTAGAAAAAATCCGAATGTGAAAACTAGTGTAGAGAATGTAAGGCTTTACACAGAAACTAMTSSAAAATAATTTATTTTYCATGYCTTAAAATTTKCATATTGATAAAGAGGTATTCAGTTTTCGCGAWTTTTTTTAGACGACGTGAAATTAACTGGTGTTTCGTACACGGTTCGAGACGYTTTCAAAAAATCGTTATAAAAAAACTTGATTTAAGACAGGAATACAGACAGCACTTAATAGAGAGAACTTCATGTGAAAATATACAAKTTGAATGCAAATCCATGTCCAAATTTTTCAAGTTTTCGCATATTTTTGAAATCGACTTGATATTAATCGGTACTTTTTTTMCCTTAAGAGACACTTTCATAAAATTGTTTTTCGAAAYTTAAAAAAACTRGAGAAATTTGTTATACAGTAATAAATAAAAGACAGTTTACGTTATTTGCCCAGAGAATTGCAAATCCCTAGCTTGGTTTTTGGCAGTTTTGGTAAATTTTTCAAATCGAGATGGAATTACCCAATGTCTCGTACGGAATTGTCGATCATATGGTAAAAATTGAAATTAAAGTTTTAAGAATAAGGACTCCCATCGATTTTCGATTGTATTTTACTTAGTTGTAGCCAAAAAATAGTGCCTCGAATGTTGCCAAATATCTGCGGAAAGCAGTAAATTTATAGCGAAGTTTTTAGAGTTTTGGCGAATTTACAAAATCGACTTCTGGTGCCCTGGTAAATAATTTATTTTCCAWGACTTAAAATTTSTAAATTCATAAAGTTGTAGGTGGTTRSAGTTTTTGCGAATTTTTTTAGCCGAGGTGAAATTAACTGGTGTTGTTTTGACTTTAAAATGCAATTAAACAATTTCGCTGGGCCAAAACTTTATTAAAGAGAGAAATATTTTTTGCAACAGTAAATAGAAAACACCTCAGTCTTTATGTCTCCAAACGAGCAAATTCATAGCGTAGTTTTTAGAGTTTTTGCAAATTTTTTAAATCGATTTGGAATTACACGGTGCCTTTTTTTAAGTTAAGAGAATTAAAGCTTGTTTTGCAAATACGTGACAAAAAAAAGAATTATTTTAGACAGCAATGTATACAAAAGATATCACTTTATGCTCCCCAGAATTTGCAGATTTGTAACGTAGTTTTTGGACTTTTGGTGATTTTGTTAAATCGAATTAAAATTACGCAATGTTTCGTTCACGTTTCGAGACGCTTTCAAAAAATCGTTATTCAAAAACTTGATTTAAGAGAGAAATACTTTACACAGCACTCAATAGGGAAACTTCATGTTTCAATATACGAGCTGAATGCAAATCCATAGAGAGTTTTTGTGCATTTTTTAAATCGACTTGAAATTAATCGGTGTTTTTTTTACGTTAAGAGCACCTTTATAAAGTCGTTTTTCGAAAACTAAACAAAACTAAAGAAATGTTTTATACAGAAATAAATAAAAGACGCTTTACGTTATTTGCTCAGAGAAGTGCAAATTCCTAAACTGGTTTTGGGAGTTTTGATGAATTTTTCAAATCGACTGGGTATTACTCAATATCTCTTCAGAATCATATTGGTAAAAATTAACAATAATGGTTCACGGATAAAAGCTCCCATCGAGTTTCTATTGTATTTTACTTAGTTGTAGCCAAAAAAATAGTGTTGAGAACGTTGGCAGTTTTTTTTTAAATCTACGAAAAAGCAGGAACCACTTTATAGAAGAATCAAAAGAAGACACTTAACAGTACAAATTCGCATAATTGCAAAATTGGAGGATAGTTTTTGGAGTTGCAATGAATTTTTGAATCCAAGTAAAATTGCCAGGAGTTTCATTTTCTTTGAAGAAGACACTTAGAAAAAGTCCTAATGCGAAACTTAGTGTAGAGAATGTAAGATTTTACACTGAAATTAATGGAAAATAATTTATTTTCCATGACTTAAAATTTGCAAATTCATGAAATTGTAGCTATTTGGAGTTTCTGCGAATTTTTTCAGCCGACCTGAAATAACTTGTGTTTCTTTTACTTTAAAATGCACTTAAAAAAATTCGTTATGTTAAAACTTTATTAAAGAGAGAAAACATTTTTGCAGCAGCAAATGGAAAATACCTCAGTCTTTACGTCGCCAAGCGAGCAAATTCATAACGTAGAATTTGGACTTTTGGCAAATTTTTTAAGCCGAATTGGAATTACACAGTGCCTGTTTTTTTAGTTAAGAGAATAAAAAATTGCTTGGCAAACACTGGACATAAAAGGAATTATGTTATGCAGCAATGTATACAAAATATATCACTTTATACCCCCCGGAAATTTACAGATTCGTAGCAATTGTTAACTACTTCGCAATAAAAATGATCAAATCACCCAAAAATGTGCCTTATAGCAGAAAAACTGAAAATCAATTTTTTCTTCCGCAATGAATGTAAAATTGAAAAACTATTTCAATTTGCAGGCAAAGCATTGACGGGCATTAATGTTAAATATTGAGGTTTTTTTTCCGGACAATGCAAGAGTTTTTTTTTTATTCAAAACTATTGGTCTCTAATACGTAAAAAAAAGAACTGATGCGAATGCGAGCAGTTAATTTAGTACAAAACATTTGTTGGGATGTGAAACTTGCCTTTGAAAATATTTCTGTGCGAACTGGCACTTTCACACAAAACACCTTGTCGCGTTCTAAGATGATAAATGTATTCTGGCCTTTTTGGCAAATTCGGAGGTTTATTCTACTTCCTCACTGTAAGATTAAGGTTTTCAGTTTGGAATGCATTTTCATTGTGTGATCAAGTGTCGTGTGGAATTTTTGATGGGTAGAAAATGGAGGATGGTGCGCCAGCTTTAGAGAAAGCTCGTAAGGATTTTTTCTGATTTATAATTTATATACTGCTGAAGTCAATGTTTCGGAAAGCAACTGTTCATGCATTCTTTACATTTTGCCCTTGGATTCATCACAAATAACTCGTAAGCTTCGCGTTTTTTTTAAGCTGGCCAACTTTCCGAATCCGAAACAGAAAATTTTGGTCCTGCATATTGAGCGAATTATTCCCTGGTCTTTCGCTGTTTCAACTAAAATTCCTTAAGCAATTAACGTCCCAAACATGCACTGAAATGACTCAACAGTTATGCAGATGGTGTTGAGAGCAACGAGCAAATTCCCCAAGGTTTATTGCTCTTGTTCTAATAAGGTAATTATTTATTGACGTTCTAGTTTCCTGCCGGACATACTTGCCTACATTCTGCGCGAGATTAATTAGTTAATTAGCAATTTATCCAAGCTACGACCAAACCTGTGTCTTTGAGGAGATTAAAGTGTAGTGAACAGTGTTTGGTGCTGTAGTTTGAAATGAAGATTTGAGCCCATAGAATTTCGCACTTATTCTTGCATAATATGAGATTTTCCCAAACTTTCTCTAGTCTCTAGCTTGTAAATTGCACTTACTTGTCACTAGTGTGCTTCTGTTGTACAAAACTGTGGCTAGGGCTACGACTAATGATATAACTATGAGTAAAACTATTGCAGTGATCAGCGTCAGGCATCGTTCCATGCTTGTTCTTCTCTTCCACCATGTCGGATTTCTGCAAAAAAAACACCTCAGTCAATCCATGATTTTAAAAATATTACCAAGAAAAATTGCATATTTGCAAAAAAGTAAGTGGATTCAAGTCTGGCTCACATGGAGCCCAAAGTTCGGGAGTATTACTCAGAGTAATTGTTTTAGGAAGGTTAGTGCGTAAACTATGACGCATTAAGTATGGGAAGCTGTGAGTAAATGCTACCTGGAACACTCCTCATTATCTGGCCCAATCTCCCCTTATCATGCATTAGCACAGTCATGGCTGAATCCTTTTCAGCGAATAAAGGAATCGTCTTTGATCGATCCCCCGATAGAATATTAGAAGGACGTTTTTAGTGCGACCAAGTAAATAAACTGATCACAGACTCAGTAAATCCTTCCAGTTTATCTGGTTGAATCAGTTCTCATTGGGTTTTGGCCAGTTTTTGAACGCAACTCTCTGGCTGGCTGATTTTTTATCATACGCCCCTGGTATGGGGGGAAGGCGAGACAAGGACAGCCTAGTTGCCCTGGAAACGCCTATGGCCCTCGCTCTCGGGCCCATTGCCGGACACATCCGAGAGCACGCGAGCCAGCTCGGATGTACTACGAGGCGTGTGCAAGAGTTTAATTGCATTTTTTCATCTAATTCGAACGCAAACAACTGATTGATGAAAGTAGTCAGTAATTTTAACGCTTGATAGGTTTGCCATTACCTTTCACTTTTTACGGTGCTTTCACTGCAGGTCATGGCGTTTTTGACCAAGCAACCATATGCTTTTCAATAACAGAAGAAGAATAATTTTAGTGTATTTACGTACCAAACACTTATCAACATCACATTGATAAAATAAACCATGTAGTATCCATATCACGACATTTTTGCTGTAGGTTTCTGATTTAATTGGCAATCTGAATAGTAGTTTTGCCCCAATTTGGGACTCAATTAACCCTGTACCTGAACAATTTATGTATCAAAGTGCCACGCCCGATTCAAGGTGACGACCTACTCAGTGATATATTTAGGTTGTCGATTCTCAAAGTCTTTGATTTTTTTTAAATAATTAGGCTATAGAAAGTGATTTTCCGATAGAAAAGATGCATGAGAGGATGAAGGATGAAGGTTGGGAGCGTTAACTGTAATAAAGAAGTTAATGATTATTTGCATCTGAATCGCTTCCTGAAGAAGAAACGATTTTTTTGCGCCATAAAGTTTGCTGATTTGCGTCATAAAGTGCATGTGATTTGCTTCACAAATTGAAAATAACCAGCAGCAATAAGTGCTTGAAACTGGTGACTTTTTGGGCTTTTAGGCGGTCTGAAAATATTTCCTTATTCAGTTTCCCATTTTTTTTTATTGACATCATGATGTTTCTACAATCTGCCCAGCGATTGAACAATCAGTAAAATAAATGTAAAAGTTTCTCAAATCTGTGTCGTCTCCGCAAGGTTCCGACCAACAGTCGCAAAAGGGTCTTTAATGGCGAAGTTGTGCCAAGCTCTTCGGGCACAACATTTTTACCGGAAAATGGTCAATTGGCACATTAAGAGTGTTTTTCGGGTGAAAATCGCTATAAAATCTGTGTCGTGCTCGAAGAGCTCGGCACAATAGTCGCAATAGAGCGTTTAATGTCGAAGTTGTGCGGTGTTCTTCGGGCGCAACATCGATTTTCACCGGAAAATGACCAATTGACAGGTTTAGAGTGTGTTTTGAGTGAAAATCGCTATAAAATCTGTGTCCTGCTGGAATGGCTCGGCACAACAGTCACAATAGAGTGTTTAATGTCAAAGTTGTGACCAGTTCATCGGGTATAACACTTAATTTCGCCTCAAAATGTTCAATTGGCAAGTTTAAAGTGTTTTTGTTCCGAAATCACCATAAAATCAGTGTTGTGCCCGAAGAGCTCGGCACAACAGTTGCAATAGAGTGCTGAATGTCGAAGTTGTGCCGAGCCCTTTGGGCACAACACTGGTTTTCACCACAAAATGGTTAAATCGCAAGTTCAAGGTGTTTCTGCGCCAAAATCACCATAAAATCATCGTCGTGCCTGAAGGGCTCGGCACAACAGTCACAATAGAGTGTTTAATGTCGAAGTTGCGCCAAGCTCTTCGRGCACAACAGTSATTTTTGCCACAAAATAGTCAATTGGSAAGTTTAGAGTATTTTAGCCCCGAAATCACCATAAAATCAGTGTTGTGCCCGAAGGGTTCGGAACAAAAGTCGCAATAGTGTTTAGTGTCGAAGTTGTGATTAGCCCTTCGGGCACAACACTGGTTTAACCAAAAAATGGTCAAATCGCAAGTTTAGGGTGTTTCTGCGCCGAAATCACCATAAAATCATTGTCGTGCCCAATGGGCTTGGCACAACACTCGCAATTGAGTGATTAATGACGAAGTTGTGCCGAGCTCTTCGGGCACAGCAGTGATTTTTGCAACAAAATGGTGAATTAGCAACTTTTCAGTGTTTTTGCCCCGAAATCACCATAAAATCAGTGTTGTGCCCGAAGGGTTCGGAACAATAGTCGCAATAGTGTTTAGTGTCGAAGTTGTGCTTAGACCTTCGGGCACAACACTGGTTTTCACCACAAAATGGTCAAATCGCAAGTTCAGCGTGTTTCTGCGCCGAAATCACCATAAAATCATTGTCGTGCCCGAAGGGCTCGGCACAGCAGTCACAATAGAGYGTTTAATGTGGAAGTTGTGCCGAGCTCTTCGGGCTTGATTTTTGCCACAAAAATTTTGGGCAGTGATTTTTGCCACAAAATGGTCAATTGGCAAGTTTAGAGTATTTTTGCCCCAAAATTACCATAAAATCAGTGTTGTGCCCGAAGGGGTCGGAACAACAGTCGCAGTAGTGTTTAGTGTCGAAGTTGTGCTTAGGCCTTCGGGCAAAACACTGGTTTTCACCACAAAATGGTCAAATCGCAAGTTCAGGGTGTTTCTGCGCCGAAATCACCATAAAATCATTGTCGTGCCCGAAGGGCTCGGCACAACAGTCACAATAGAGTGTTTATTGTCGAAGTTATGCCGAGCTCTTCGGGCACAACAGTGATTTTTGCCACAAAATAGTCAATTGGCAAGTTTAGAGTGTTTTTGCCCCGATATTACCATAAAATCAGTGTTGTGCCCGAAGGGTTCGGAACAACAGTCGCAATAGTGTTTAGTGTCGAAGTTGTGCTTGGCCCTTCGGGCAGAACACTGGTATTCACCACAAAAGGGTCAAATCGCAAGTTCAGGTTGTTTCTGCGCCGCAATCACCATAAAATCATTGTCGTGCCCGAAGGGCTCGGCACAACAGTCACAATAGAGTGTTTAATGTCGAAGTTGTGCCAAGTTCTTCGGGCACAACAGTGATTTTTGCCACAAAATGGTCAATTGGCAAGTTTAGAGTGTTTTTGCCCCGATATTACCATAAAATCAGTGTTGTGCCCGAAGGGTTCGAAACGATAGTGTCAGTAGTGTTTAGTGTCGAAGTTGTGCTTAGCCCTTCGGGCACAGAACTGGTTTTCACCACAAAATGATCAAATCGCAAGTGCAGGGTGTTTCTGCGCCGATATCATTCATTGTCGTGCCCGAAGGGCTCGGGACAACAGTCACAATAGAGTGTTTAATGTCGAAGTTGTGCCGAGCTCTTCGGGCACAACAGTGATTTTTGCCACAAAATGGTCAATTGGCAAGTTTAGAGTGTCTTCTTTGCGTCGGAATCATCATAAAATCAGTGTCGTGCCCGAAGGGCTCGGTACCATAGTCTCAATAGAATGTTTAATGTCGAAGATGTGCTGAGCCCTTCAGGCACAACACTGATTTTCACCACAAAATAGTTTAGTGGCAAGTTTTGAGTGTAATTTGGTTCGAAATCGTCATAAAATCTGTGTCGTCCCCGAAGGGTTCGGAACAACAGTCGCAATAGAGTGTTTAATGTCGAAGTTGTGCCGATCTCACTGGTTTTATGGCGATTTCGGAGCAAAAACACTCTAAACTTACCAATTGACCATTTGCTGGCAACAATAACTGTTGCACACACGTTCAGAGTGTTTTTTTGCGTGAAAATTGCTATAAAATGTGTGTCCTGACCGAAAAGCTCGAAACAACAGTCGCAATAGAGTGTTCAATCTCAAATGGTTTGGGCGCAAAAACCCTCCAAACCTCCCGATTGACCAGTTTGTGCCTAAAAATCAGAAATGTGCCAGAAAAGTTGAAAAATTTTAATAGTGGCTTTTCCAAAAGTGAACTGAACTTCAGAACTCCAGTTCAAATCTAAAATTTGGCTTCGACATTGTGATATTCGAGTTGAGTCAAAACCTTTTTTTATGAGACGCAGAATGCAGAATATAAAAAAATGCCTACATCGAGCCAATGACATTTTGTGTAAAACGCCGACGGGAAAATTTTCAACCGAACTAAACGTTCAAGAGTTAATATTTGGCTTTAAAGGCAGCAAAAATTAAAAACTGGTTTTTCCAAACAAAAAATTGCAAATTAAAACAGCCGTAGAAAATTTCCCTGAAGTTTTATTACTTCAGTTTGGTGGCGTGGCGACTGATCCGAGCAAACCACCTCTGAAGACGTCAGAAATTTGTTTCCACCAGTACCTAAAAACTCGGAAAACTCTGCAGCTTCCAAATTGAAAAACGCTTTCAAGGGAAAACTAACATTCCAAGATTTCGAGCTAAGTTTTGTCTCAAGCATAAATTTGAGGGACTTGAAGTCAAAGACTTACTTTTGAGTAGCTAACGCTGGTCTGGGCACTGGAACATAGGCGACACTCGTAAGAGACGCGGGCATTTTCTCGCCTCCTCCTCGCATGCAAGTGCGGATCAAAAACCTCAAAAATGCTCAAATTTGGTGGACAACTAGCGATCAACCTTTCAAACTCGACCGCATTATTCGTGAATGAAACGCGTACTGAGATTGATTTTTCATACTCACGCTGTACCAGTTTATCAATGGGATCAAGTTCAATGGCAATCGGTCGAGCCGACGCACTATTTGGGGCAAATAATCACACATCCATGCTTGCGGGAGAACTGCAAACCCTCGGCTGTTCCATGATCCAAACGATGTCCATTAGCCTAAGCGCTTCGGCTTTTAGAAGCGGCCAAGACTTTATGTCGCTCATAATTCCGGCTTCTGAGTTTCCACTGTCACATTCGCGCAAATCCAGAAGGTTTAGAAGCTTTCACGACTCTTGCCAACTGTTAATTTAACTCTTTCCTTTAATGAATTGATTGTGGCTAGTCCCGGATTTTATGGCCAAAAATGATGAAGGTTTTGGTGAAGATTGCCAAGATACCAAGTTAAGGAGCTGATTGATGAGTTGAAAAATCAACAGGCAAAATGTTCAGTTTCCTGAAAAAACATCTGTATAATTGTACCTTTATGTACTTTCTATGTTATGGCGTTTCCCCTGGCATGTTATTATGCATGTTTCCTGTTTGTTACATGCAAACAATTAATACGAAGGAAAAATGAAGGTGGATTTGGAAAAGCAAACTGCATTGCTGGTATTCATCGGCTCCAATCTGCTGTACGTAAACCCGGAAATCTACTGTATAATAAATGAATGTTTGCATGAAATCGCCCATTTATTGTATGCTCCACTGGGCGAAACACGCACAAAGACACGAACATTTTTATGTTTAGAACTTCGGCTTTCCACTTTTCGTTTTGTAAAATGACTGTTTAGTTCTGGGCTGCTGAAACTAGCAAAATTTGCGGTGAAAGCTGATTTATTCACTTGTGTTAGTTGAGAAAGGGATTTCCCGTCTTTTGAAGTCATTTTCAATAACTTGAAGCCGCGTTTTAAGCGTCCAAAGTCAATTTGCAGTGGAAGTAGTCAGACTTCAAATAAATTATTACCGAGTTTTTATTTGCAATTGCCTTCAGGGACAAAAATCTGCTGATTTTCAAGCAAAATTACTTTAGAAAGTGGTTGTTTATTTATACTGCGCCGCTAATTTAACGCATATCGTAAACATTCCTTAGTTTTTGACTGCGAATATATTCTGAGTCTGTAGCCCAATTTGAATAATCACTTCGATACAGGTAATATTTTAGATATTTTGCATTCTGAAACCAATTTTCGAGCTGTCGACGCCACTTATCGAATGGTTAACTAATTATTTTGTTTAAATCTCGAACAATATGACCCTTTTTTCAGGGACTCTAATATCAAAAACCTGAAGAATATCAAAGTCTGAAGGCTGCTTACCAATCTTGTTTAATTTTCAAACTACTATTTTTGATGATACCATGACTTGAAGTAATTTTTCACTTGAACTAGTAAAACTGCGATTTTTACCAAAGTCTTTGAAGATAAAACATTTTTGCCCTTTGAATCAGCAGATGATTTTAAGTCGGTTAAGTCGCTTTCATAACAGCTGCACATCTGTTACGCGCTCTTGGAAAATTAATTTGCTCCTTTCTAAAGGTGATTATCCAAAACTGTTGAAGTTAGAAGCTTACGGCGCAATTATCAAAGACTTTTCGTTGAATTGTCTTTGGTTTCCCAGTGACTTTTTAATGTTTTATCCGTTGAAGTTGGATGTCGGTTAGTGAGTACTGGCTTTTGAACCTTAATTTATTAGTACACATTTTTTTTAAATCGCTTCTCACACTCATTGGTACGACTTTTCTACTTTTAGAATTTGAAAACGTTCAAGTTGCAACTTTATTGCGTATTGAAGGCGGCATCTAATACTAATTTCTCAAATAATTTTTTTTCAAAAGTTTTTACACTCGCTGAGTTTGAGCTCGTTTTGCTCCCTAGCTGTTGCCGCTCTCCAATTTGAGGCTAGAATAGTTTTCATAGCTACTTCTTTGGCATTTTTGGGGATTTTGAAATTTTTGAAATATATTGACATTTAACGAAGTTACGGGCAAAAGAGCTCCACTCTTTTGATATGCGCAAATGGTACAGGCGAACAGTTGCCAACATTCAGGGTTTATTATCTCCCAAACCGTTGCCAATGTGGATTTTTGTGAAGACAGCTGAGCTCTACCGAATAACAGTGCCAATATAGAGCGTTTTTCCTTTTTCAAATATTTTAAACAGTGGCGGAGTTATTGGCAAATAAGTGTACAAACAATGTGGGTGGCAGTTGAAGTCTCTCCAGTTTAAGAACTTCAAATTTAATTTTCTCCGAAGCTACATACGAAAACGATGTTAATGAAAATGGAATTTTGCTTAAATTTTAGTCTTAAGTAAAAAATTTGCACTTTTGCGATTTTCAAAAAAAAATTAAATTTTTTTAAAAAACTAAAATTTTTGCTGCAAATTTTTTTAAACCATTCAGTGGCTCTAAAAAATATATATTTGGGTTAAAAACATCTTGGTGCGCCGCCAAACTTTACACCTGATGTCCTATTTTGAAAATGAGTTAATCGTGGCAAAAATTCAAAGTATTTTATTGGGAAAATCGTCTTTTCGCCTTTAAATTATCATAACTTGCAAGTTTTTGAAACGATTGAAATTTTCCTGGCTGTGCATTATTCTCTAATTCACTAGTAGTTTTTCACTGGGAAAGTTCTCCAAAAATTCCTTTCATTAATTTTAATTAAAGCAAGTAATCCGATAGTAGAAAATATCATTGTCTGCTAAACAAACGGAAGGTCCTTTGATTTTCCGGAAAGCGTTTCTAAAACTACACCTTTTTGATGAACAATTTCTGCAATTCGAAGTAAAGGTGAAAAGATGTTCAAAAAAGCATTTTTTTTATGTGTTGTTTACCGATGAAATCACATTCTTCGGTGTTTAACCATACACTTTTCGAGCATTTTTGACTCGATTGGTCATTAATAAATTGAACTGTAGTTATTAGGAAAGTCAGGGTTATTTTTTTATATGGATTTAGCTGTTGCAGATTTCAGTGCCTGAAGAAAATACTTTGTTTAAAGCCAAGATTGATAAACGATTAAGAACTTTTTTGCTGTTAAATTGAATCGATAGAGGAATTTTGGCTGATTTTTGAAATTTTTGAAAACTCAATCGGTTATAATGCTCGCTAATTTTTTTGAAAGTTCATAAATTGTAATCAAGAGTAGATAAAAAACCGTTTTCGGATTTTCGTAGAAGAGGCATGAATGAGTGAGATTGGAGTTGTTTTTAAAAATTCATAAAATGTAATCAAGAGCAGGTAGAGGTAAAAAAACTTGGGATTTTTGTAGACTAGAGTTCAGTTATCACGTGCGCGGTATTTCAGTTCTGCGAAACTTTTCACTGATTTTAGAGAATTTTTTACATAAGATCATAAAAACTGCCGTCGTGATAGTGCGCGCTTCAACTTAAAAATTCATAAAATATGATCAAGGGCAAGTAAAGAAAAATAATTTTTGCCATTTCACAGAAAATGTACAAGTTATTAAGAACTCAAAATTTTTAATAAAGCTATTTTGCAGGCATTTTTCCTAAGAAAATGCTCCATTAATAGTGAACCTTTGCAAATTCATAAAATGTAATCAAAAGCCGACAAAGAAAGGAAATTTTAAAAGACGCAGAAATTGATTCAGCTTTAAGGGTGCAAATCATCAGTTTTGCAGCAGGAATTTCCGTTGATTTTTCAGACGTAAAACAAGTGTCCATAAAATCTTTCAAAGAGAGAGGGTTTTTTTCAACGAGTTCAGAGAACTTGATATGTATTAAAGTGTGCTTTAAAAGTAAAGAATCATTAATAAGGTTCAAAGAATACAGTTCTTGCAAATTCATCTTTCAGCATTAACGATTGAAAATATCGAATTTCGGTTTCAAATTTTTGCACTGAAACCGAACAAAATTTGCACCCTTTATTAATTTTTGATAAAAACAAGCCGAAAGTCGCTCAAATTTCCTGACAGGGTTTTTAGAACTACACTTTTTGAGCTCTTGTGTAATATTTTCGGATTAAGCGCCTCAATAAATATTAGCGATTAAAAAAAAATCAGTTCCACAAATCTGCCTTTTGCCCTAAGTTCTGCATGGTTGTGCGATTTTGAATTTAATCTGGTTTGAAAGAGAAATGTTTGTAGTTTTAATTGTCATATTATGTGAAACACCTTATTTTAAATTCTATTTCCTGCAACAAATTCAACATATTTTTGATTTTAACCAGAAAACTTATTGACAGGGTTATGCAGCAAATTTCTACATATGAAAAGCTGTTTGTCCAAAAAAACTAGTGACCTTAAATCCACGAAGAAAACACTGATAAGATTTGTCTTTTCGGCCCTTAAATTCTCATTATTTTCAAGTTTCTCAACCGGTTTCAATTTTGTAAAATGCGAATTTTTGACAAAATCACTCGCTTCAGAACGAATTTTCAATGATCCAAATCGAGTTCCAAACCTGAGTGCCTTCTATTGACTGCTAATTTTGCATCAGTCGCTTTTCTTCTTTTTTAACCTTCCTACTCCATTTCCATATTAAGCATGTTTCAAACTGTAAAATCGTTGTTTTCGATTTTGATACAAACATTTTTATATCTGAAACTCACTTTAATCACACTTTCTATCTCAGTTAAGCATTACTATTTAGTGTATTATTTTTAGCAGTCTTAGAAGTTTCTGAAGATTTCTATTTCCTGAAGTCACTCTCGCGCTAACTACAGCTTTGTATTTTTAGCAATGCAGAATTTTCGACGGCGAGCTTATTACCATTTCAAGAAAAAGTGATTTTTTGTCAGCAGTTGTCTCATCTCATCAATAAGTGATTTGCTTTCCGCTTCTTCATGCACTTTTGAATGTATAGATAGTGTTGAAGGCGATTTTAAAAACTCCATTTCGGACCAAAGTGGGAATAAATAAATTTCAGAAAAATGGTTGACTGTTTTTGGCTTTGCATCAGCAGTTTCCTTATTCAAGCAATACTCGTCTTGCTTTTATCTGCTTTTGAGGCAAATATCAACTTGCGAAAGGTTAACCAAAGATTT